GCTTTTTTTCTGTTATTGAGGAATTGAACCCAGAGCTTCATGCATGAAAGGCAAGCACTCTACCACTAAGCCACATTCCCAGCCCTGGGCTTTGTTCTTAACAGTACCCACATTAGCCCGGCGCTAGTGGCTCACACCTGTAATCCTAGCTACTCAGGAGGCTGAGGTCTGAGGATCACGGTTCAAAGCCAGCTTGGGCAGGAAAGTTTGTGTGACTCTTATCTCCAGTAAACCACCAGAAAACCAGACATAGAGCTGTGGTGGCTCAAGTGGTAGAGCACTAGCTAGCCTTGAGCTGAAGAGCTGAGGGATAGCACCCAGGCTAGAGTGCAAGCCCCACAACCAACAAAACAAAATAGTACCCCTCTTATTTGAATTCTAGCTCATTTCAGCAGATGTTTCTAGTTTACCTCTGCCTGTAAATAGTTGGCTTCCTGTAGAGGCCACAGAAAAGATCAGGGGAAGGGGACTTTTGCTCTGATGTGTGTGTGTGTGTGTGTGTGTGTGTGTGTGTGTGTGTTGTGTGTGTGTGTGTGTGTGTGTGTGTGTGTGTGTGTGTGTGTGTGTGTTCAGTCGGTGGTAGGGCTTAAACTCAAGACCTGGGCGCTATCCCTGGGCTCTTTTTGGTCAAGCCTAGCGCCCTACCACTTTGTTTTTTGGTGGTTAATTGGAGATAAGATTCTCATGGAGGCTTTTCTTCCCAGGCTGGCTTTGAACCTTGATCCTCAGATCTCAGCCTCCTGAGTAACTAGGATTACAGGCGTGAAACATTGTCACCCTGCCTGATTTGTGTTTGAATTAGCCTTCTTCCCATCTACTAGAGGTTGAACTCGAGGCCTTATATTGCTAGGCAAACACTCTACCACTGAGCTATGTTTCCAGTCATCTTCCAGTTTAACTGGATGCCAGGGGAGCACTATATGAGCAGCCATACTCAGCTGAGAAGAAAGGTGTAGTGATGGGGAGACTCAGCCTCCCATTTACAAGTATCAGCAGAAATGGATAATAAGCTGTTTTGCTGACATCGGTAGGCACAGCTGCCTAGCCATAACATTTCTTGGTAGGAAGAGGGCATGAGAGTTCTAGATCATGTTGAGCATCAGTTCTCTGCCCAAGTTCCCTAATGAGTCACTGTGAACTTGAAAAATGGCACCCTGGAGGAGCCAGTTTTATTGTTTTGTGGTTTGGGTATGGCTTGGAACTCAGGATCTTGACCCTCACAAGTAATTCTAGTGTGTAATCAAAGTTGAGATTTGATGGTATAAATTATCATTTTTTCTCTTTCCTGATATAGAATCATCTATGGTAGATTTATTCAGGTTTTTGTAGTTGTCAAAGCATATAGATTGAAATAAATTAGAGCTGGCTAGAATGAGAGATAAGGAGCCAGGTGCTGATGGCTCATTCCTATAATCTTAAGATTGTGAAATCAACCTAGGCAGGAAAGTCTGAGAGACTCATTTCCAATTAATCACACAGACACAGACACACAGACACAGACACACAGACACACACAGACACAGACACACACACACGCACGCGCGCACACACACACACACACACACACACACACACACGGCCCAAAGTGGAGCTGTGTTTCAAGTGGCAGAGCATCAGTCTTCAGTGAAGAAGGTAAGGGACAGGCCTTAAGTTCAAGCCCTATGCCAACGTACACCTCCCCCCCCCATCTGTGAGGGAAGAGAGAGGAAGGATGACAATTCTTCTATGTTCTTCAGCTGGGATACCTCCTCCCTTTCTTACCATCTACTCTGTTCAGAATAGTTAGAAAACTACAGATGTCCTAAAATTTGAATTTGCAAGATGCATTTTACCATATTCTTTCATTAGAGTTATCAAAGAAAAAACTTCTTGGGGTAGGGAATGTGGCTTAGTGGTAGGGTGCTTCTCTAGCATTCGTGAAGCCTTGGGTTCAATTCCTCAATACCACATAAACAGAAAAAGCTGAAAGTGATGTTGTGGCTCAAGTGGTAGAGTGCTAGTCTTGAACAAAAGAAGTTCAGGGACAGTGCCCAGGCCAAGTGCAAGCCCCAGGACTGGCAGAAAGATAGAAAGAGAGAAAGAGAAAGGAAGAAAGAAAGAGAAAGAGAGAAAGAGAAAGAAAGAAGGAAAGGCAGAAAGAGAGGCAGAAACCCTCCCCCACAGTATAACCCCTGCTTTCACTGTATTTGATGTCGGTATAATTTGTGGAGGGGAAGGGAAAAAACAAGTCGTTTAAATAGGGATACAGGTGGACCCATTGCAACAATGAGAAGTACAAGTCGTTATGTCAAAAACGAACTTTACAACTTTGGTGTGTGGGGGGGAAGGGAAGCGGGGGAGGATTGGGTGGGGGGGGCGGGGGAGGGGGAGGATGGGAAAGGATGGGAAGGGGAAACAAAGGAGGAGGCTACAATGCTTGATCAGAAATGTACTCATTATCTTGCCCATGTAATTGTAAGCCCTCTGTACAGTATTTTCACAATAAAAAAATAAATAAAAATTAAAAGAAAGAGAGGCAGAAAGAAAGAGGAAGGAAGAAAAGAAAGGAAGGAAGGAAGGTTCTTTAGAGCCATTGGGGGGGCTGATTGGCTCATCTGGGATTAGGGGCCTACTTCTGGTCAGCAGAGATTCTAGGAAATGGCAAGGTAACCCATGCCAGGGTGTCCCATGTACTGCAGGAAGGAGCTGTTGGGACCGATATTGAGAAGTTAGGGTTCAATGATTTCCATAAGGCCTTAGAGACTGAATTTGTTAGTTGAGTAGAACTAGAGAAATGAGGACCAGAATTTGTTAGTGGAATAAAGATACAGAGAGATGAGGACTTCATGGCTCTAGGCCTCCTGGATTTGTTGCTCAGAATCTAGGTCCTGTTCTCTTTGTTCCCTTTGAAATTGTTGGGAACATCTTGGGACATTGGGGTCTCATGTAGGAATAAGGACACCAACTTGAAAGGAATTTGTCAAGGAAAAGTTTGCTGTGGCAGAAAGGTCTGCTAGTGGGAAGAAGCTGAGTGAGCAAGTGCAGTAGGCTGGTAGTCCGCAGGGGTTGTATCCCTAGCATAATACTACCTCATGTTTTTTTTTTTTTTTTTTAACTTTTTTATTTTTTTAATTTTTGCTTATGTGGTGCTGGGGAATCGAACCCAGAGCCTCATGCATGCAAGGCAAGCGCTCTACCACTGAGCCACCTTCCCAGCCCCTACCTCATGTTTTGATTGGTCAGAAGTTAGGTTTACAAGCTGTGTGATTGGCTAGTTTGAGATGATATTGCTTAATAAAATTTAACAGGAACAGGGCACAACTGGTAACAGGATATCTTAATTAAAGTACAGTCAACTAAGACCAAGCCCTGGCCAAAGCAGGAACTGGTCAGAAAAACAGTTCTTCTTAGCTAGCATTTTACCACTTAAGCCATGCCTCTAACCTCAAGAAAAAAAATTCTAATAACAGAATATGGCTTAGCTAAAATAGCTTCTTAGAGGTTGGGGTTCTTCTTATTTTTTTGTTATTATTATCTTCAAGTAGCTGTATAAGGGAGTTCCATTTCAGTGTATTAATTTATAAGCACAGTGCATCTCCATCAATATCATTCTGTCTCCTAACACCACCCCCAGATTACCTGATTCCTCTGAATGCATACATTGAAATAATGACGGTATTTGCCCATTCTTCCACTCTCCATTTGTCTCTTCCTCCTTTCTTGAACTCTATCCCTTCTCCTTGTTTCCCTATCCAGGACAAAAATTTTTTTTTCAGCTATATAGTATTTATTTATTTAGTTAGTTAGTCATGGGACCTGAACTCTGGGCCTACATGCTGTCCCTCAACTCTTCAGCTCAAGGCTAGCACTCTACCACTTGAGCCACAGCACCACTTCTGGCTTTTTTCTTTTTGCTTATGTGGTGCTGAGGAATCAAACCCAGGGCCTTGAGCATGCAAGGCAAGCGCTCTACCACTGAGCCACCTTCCCAGCCCCAATATTCAAGTGTCTTTATTGTATGCTGACTTGTAAAATCTTTTGGATAAATGCCCAACATCCATGTAGTTCTTGTCTTTCCAGTTAGAATTCCACCTTGGGCCAGTTTATCTGAACAGTTTATTTTCCAGTGGGTACATTTTTATCTTAGTAGATTTGAACTACAATTTGGTGTCCTTGGAGACTTCAAAAACCCTCTAGTAGCTGGGCGTGGTGGCTCATGCCTATAATCCAAACTATTCAAGAGGCTGAGATATGAGGATCACTGTTCAAAGCCAGCCCGAGCAGGAAAGGCTGTGAGACTCTTTTTTTTTTTTTTAATTTTATTTATTTTTAATTTTTTTTTTGGGGGGGCGTCTGGTTGTGGGGCCTGAACTCTGGGCCTGGGCACTGTCCCTCAACTTTTCAGCTCAAGGCTAGCGCTCTACCACTTGAGCCACAGCGCCACTTCCGCCTTTTTTCTTTTTGCTTATGTGGTGCTAAGGAATCGAACCTAGGGCCTCAGGCATGCAAGGCAAGCGCTCTACCACTGAGCCACCTTCCCAGCCCGGCTGTGAGACTCTTATCTCCAATAAACCACTCAGAAAACCAGAAGTGGTGCTGTGGTTCAAGTGGCAGAGCACTTGCCTTGAGCTGAAGAGCTGAGGGACAGCACCCAGGGCCAGATTTCAAGCCTTATGACTGAACAAAAATAAATAAATAAATAAATAAAAACCTCTAGTGTCATCATCATGAGGTAGATGGATTTCTTTTCTTTATGTCACACTGCCCCAAGTTAACTTTGGCTTTTATTGGTTTCAAGAAGGATAATTTTTCACCTTCGTGCAAAGTTCCTGGGCTTACCAATGGGAACAAGCACATTTCATGTGGCTTAAGATGAATACATGTCTCATTTCGAGCAAGCTCAGTCTTTGATCAGAATGAAAGCACAGTCCTTGTGAATTTAAATTGAGTGCATTTAACTTAATTGAAATCAAATTCTTCTGCTCAAGTGAATTATTTTTTTTCTGGTTTCTTTTTTGCAGGGGTTCAGCTGTTGCGAAGATAATTGGTAATAATGTTCAGAAGCTGCAGAAGTTTGCCTCCACAGTGAAGATGTGGGTCTTTGAAGAAACAGTCAATGGCAGAAAACTGACTGACATCATAAATAATGACCATGAAAATGTAAAATATCTCCCCGGACACAAGCTACCAGAAAATGTGGTGAGACTCTTAGGTTCATTCTTGCTTGATCTTGCTTGGCTGGTGGAGCTGGGAACCTGGAGCTGGCCAAGCGACTTCCCTGTTATTCCCCATTGGCTCTGGTTTTCCTGATTGAAAATGGGCTTTGTGTTACTCTTAGGGCTGTTGTAAACAGAGTGCCCTAGATGGAGTGAGTTAAACAACAGAATTTGTTTCTTTCTGTGACAGTTCTGAACAGATGTCATGGTTGTTTCTTGTGGAGCTTCCTGGTGGCTGTGTCATAACCCTTGCTGTGGGGACAGAGGCCTGTTGGATCCCATGTATCATACAGCAGTCATATTCCCTCACTCTTATCATTTTCAGTTCACTACCTCTCTGAGGGTGCTGTCACCAAATGTAGTCACAGTCTCAGGTGCTGAGGCAGAATGTCAGCGAATGAGCTTTGGGGGACATACCATGTACTCTGTAGGAGTGAGAATCTTTTCTATCAAAGTGACATAATCACCACCATTTAAACGGTAGCCTCCATCCTACAAGAGGTATTTTAGGTGAGCCACATGCTGTTTTAAGAATTACTTTCTAGGACAGCACCCATGATTCACATCTGTAATCCTAGCTACTCATGAGGCTGAGATCTCAGGATTATGGTTCCAAGCCAACAGGAGCAGGAAAGTCTATCAGACTTGTATCTCCAGGCTCTCAGTTCAAGTCTCAGGACAGACACATACTAGATATCTGGAGGCTGGAGGTATGGCTCGAGTAGTAGAGTTCACACAAATACACACACACAATATCTCTAGAGGCTGAAGGTGTGGCTCAACTGGTATACACATACACACATACACACAATATCTCTAGAAGGTGAAGGTGTGGCTCAAGTGGTAGAGTGATCCAGCTCCAGCTGAGTAAGAATTGTAAGAGCCAGGAGGCCATGGTTTGGGTTTATTGCTTGGATAAACTTAAAACCCCTTGAAAACTAACCAGTCACACAAGATTGTGGACCTAAATTCTAACCAATCAAAATCAGAACAAAAGCTCAGTGACATATTAGGGATAAAACCTGGGCAACTCCCTGGCCAATTCTTGTGTACTTGGCTTATTGTCAGTAGCATGTCCTTTTGCTTTTGTAGAAGTGATTTTTGCTAAGTTCCTTTTGAGTTGGTGTCCTATTTCTGTGTGATACTTCAGTATCCCAAGACATATCCAACAAATCATGGCAGGACTTCTTTGCTGTTGGTGGTGGTTTTGTACCAGTACTAGGACTAAAACTCAGATCCTCATGCTCTCCCTTAGCTTTTTTGCTCAGGGCTCATGCTCTACCACTGGAGCCATACCCCAGTTTCAGATTTTTCACTAATTAGCTGGAGATAAGAGTCTCTCAGACTTGTCTGCCCAGGCTGGCTTCAAACTTCAATCTTTAGCTCCAAACCTCTAGTAGCTAGGATTACAGCTGTGAGCCACTAGCACCCAGCAAGAAGATTCTTCTTTGGCATTTAGAGTGCATTGGAGCTGGAACTAGTGATGCCCTCCTTGCTTGTGGTCCCTGATGGCACTCTCTCAGTGCCTGTATTTGGTCAGCTGTTCAGGCCAACTAATGTCCTATTCTATAATTAAAGTCAAGGTCAAGGCCTAAATCACACAGGGAAATAGAAGAAAATAGCAGAACTGTAGGACTGACATTTGAAAATGCAAGCTTACTAAGTCTGGGAGAGAAAAATAATAGGTTGTTGCCTGGCCTGGTTCTGTGGATTTGAAGGGGAAGAAGGAAGTGGGTGTGGAAAAAGAAAAGAACATCACCCTGCTGCTGGTGTGGGTGGAGTCTATGAACTCCGTTGGCTGCCAGATTCACCCCCCTGTAGGTTTCTGTAACAGTCTATTTGGAAGCCAGCTCCCTGTGGCTTCCTGCTTCCTCTGGTTTAACTTGTGTGTTCATACCACTGCCTCCATGAGCATTGCCTCTGAGGGCAGAGTATGGTGTTGTGGCTGTAGACAAAAAGAGGAATAAAATGAGGGCTGCCTTCTGGGAGGACTGTATGAAAAGAATTAAATGTGGGGAAGTTTACAGATGCCAAGGCCTACCTTATTAAAATGGTTTTTGTGTGTGTGTGTGTGTGTGTGTGTGTGTGCGCGTGCGCGCGCACGCGCGCGCGTGTGTGCGCGTGCGCGCATGCCAGGCCTGGGGCTTGAATTCAGGGCATCAGCACTGTTTCTGAACTTCTTTTGTTTAAGGCTTGCACACTACCACTTGAGCTACAACTCCACTTTTTGGCTTACTTTTTTGTAAGTTTATTGGTAGGTAAGAGTCTCACCAACTTTCCTGCCCGGACTGGCTTCAAACTGCAATCCTCAGATCTCAGCCTCCTCAGTAGCTAGGATTTCAGGCATGAACCACCAGCACCCAGCTTTCCCACCCACACTTTCTGTGTATTTTTTTTCGCATTTGATTCAGTGCATTTATTTGGAGTTATGAATGAATGTAGAAGTTTTTTAGCTACAGTTAGATTTAAAGGTCATGATAGCCAAGCGCGGTAGCTTATGCCTGTAATCCTAGCTACTCAGGAGGCTGAGATCTGAGGATCATGGTTCAAAGCTAGCCCAGGCAGGAAAAGTCTGTGAGACTCTTATCTCCAAAAAACCACCAGAAAACCGGAAGTGGCCCTGTGGCTCAAGTGGCCTTGCGCTGAAGAGCTTAGGGACAGTGCCCAGGCCCAGAGTTCAAGCCCCACGACTGATCAAAAAAAAAAAAAAAGAAGCCATGCTATTGCACTTGGGAAGATCAGTAGGCACTTGTGATTGGTGGGGATTGGGTCTCTCCTGCAGAGTAGACAACATGTAGTGCATAATTGCTCATTAGCACACTCTATACTATGAATCAGAGGATACAAAAGATTCAGGTTTGTCCATAGGGCTGTTCTCATTGGTTTTCGGTGATTTTTGTTGTTGTTGGGGGTTACATTTTTATTCATTTGGATGAGAGCACTGGACTCTTGGGCTTTAAGCAGCTAGCCCTGGTTCTTTTGTTCTGATTCTTCCTCAGTCCTGCTTATGCTGAAAGATCCCATTTTAGGATCTTTAACAGTGGACAGCCTCAGAAACTATTTATTACTTATTTATTTATATTTTGCCAGTTCTGGTGCTTGAACTCAAGACCTGGGCATTGTCCTTAAGCTTCTTTTGCTAGCACTCTGCCATATGAGTCACAGTGTCACTCCTGGCTTTTTCTGTGTTTGTGGTTCTGAGGAATCAACCCAGGGCTTCATGCATGCTAGGCAGGCACAGTACCACTAAGCCACATTCCTAGCTCCTCAGAAACATTTTAAACAAGGAGGCTTACAAAATCCTTAGATCTCAGCCTCCTGATGAGTTAGGATGTGTCATTTAGCTTAAGCTAGGATTTAGCCACTGGTGGGCCAAGCTTCAGCCTCTTGTTCTGAGAGATGAGATTCAAATGACATGTTAGCTGGTAAGACCTGGTTTTGATAGAGTATAAAAGGCATTATATTCTATGAACACATGGTGTGCCATGCAAATAACCACCAAAAAGCTAGAAGTGGAGCTGTGGACCAAGTGGTATAGTGCCAGCCTTTAGCAAAAAAGCCAAGCAAGAGCTAAGGAAAAAGAAAGAGAAGAGAGATTGTACAGAGTGTAACCTGATAAGAATAAAGTGTAGGGGGTGAGTAGCAAGACCTGTTTCGTTTCCTCTGCCCTCTTTGCAGTGCTCCTTTTTGTCTTAAGAGCAAGTGCTAGGCTGGGAAGGGGGCTCAGTGGTAGAGGGCTTGCCTCACATGTATGAGGCCCTGGTTCAATTCCTCAGCACCACATAAACAGAAAAATATGGAAGTGGCCCTGTGGTTCAAGTGGTAGAGCACTGGCCTTGGGCTGAAGAGCTGAGGGACAGCGCCCAGGCCCAGAGTTTAAGCCCTATGGCTGACCACCAAGAAATAAAAAAAAAAAAAGAGCAAATGTTCTTGCAGAACAGGGGTCTTACGCTTTACTGTCAGACAAGGTAGGTAAGAGAATTTCCTACATAGTAAGGTGGGACAAAGAGCACTGGCTTTTGTTGTTTGTTTTAAATTTTATTGCTATCGTAAAGGTGATGTACAGAGCGGTGTTACATAAGTCAGTAATGAGTACAACAGTGTCACCTCTTTCCTCATTTTCTCCCCATTTTTCCCTGCTGACCCTCCTCCCCTACAAGTTGTATAGTTCATTTTCAACATTGTCTATTGAGTTTCGTGCTCTGTTCACCCTTTGTCCCTCTCCTTTATCTTCCCCAAGAGCAGTATTTTTAGGGTTGTTATTTTAGGCCAGTGCTAGGGTTTATACTCAGGTCCTAGGTGCTATCACTTTGTTTTTTTCATTCAAAACTGGTACTCTACCACTTAAGCCATACCTCTACTTCCAGCTTTTTGGTGGCTAATTGAATAATAATAATCCCACAGAATTTTCTGCTCCACAGGCTCTGACCCACAATTCTCAGATATCAGCCTCCTGAGTAGCTCAGATGACAGGCATGCAGTGCTGGCTGTTCTTCAGTTTTATGGCTCTGGCATTAGGACAAAGGCTCTGGTTTCTGTGCTTGCCTTGCAGCGGGGAGGGGAGTGGTGGGTTAGAGGATGTCAGGGAGATACTGTATCTGAGGCTTTCACTGTGGGGTAATAAGTCCCTGGTACCTATGACCCCAACCCTAGACTGTGGTCTGGAGGTCTTCAGAAGGGAAATATGGACTTTCCCTGCCTTCATGAGGAAGGAAGGAGATGCCCTAAGCTTTTGGCTGTGGTTCAGGTGTGGGAATGACTGAGTCATCTACACCAGCTTAAGCTAAAAGAATGGTTTGCTTTATTTGATTAAAAAAAAAAAATACACATAGGGGCTGGGCACCGGTGGTAGCTCATGCTTCTATCTACTTGGGAGACTTGAGAGTAGAAGGATCATGGTTCAAGGCCTACCTGGGCAGAACTATTTGTGAGACCCTGTGAGAAAAGCCATCTTTTCTGTGGAAGTGGGTTGCTTCCTGTCGATCGTATCAGAATAATTTCTCTTAAAAGTTTGTGTTTTAGGGCTGGGAAGGTGGCTCAGTGGTAGAGCGCTTGCCTTGCATGCCTGAGGCCCTGGGTTCAATTCCTCAGCACCACATAAGCAAAAAGAAAGAAGTCAGCAAGTCTTTGGGCTGGGAAGGTGGCTCAGTGGTAGAGTGCTTGCCTTGCATGCCTGAGGCCCTGGGTTCAATTCTTCAGCACCACATAAGCAAAAAGAAAAAAGCCGGAAGTGGCGCTGTGGCTCAAGTGGTAGAGTGCTAGCCTTGAGCTGAAGAGCTGAGGGACAGCACCCAGGCCCAGAGTTCAGGCTCCATGACTGGACTAAAAAAAAAAAAGTTTGTGTTTTGGACTGGTGGCTTTGTTCTTGTTGAATAAATGCTTTGGCATAAGGAAGGAATTTTTTTTTTTTTTGAAATGTATGGTTTTTGTCTTAGCTGGTTATTCCAAAATGGAAGAGAAATTAAGACACACCTCAGATTGGACAAGAAAATAGCAGAAGGTGGGAGTATGTTTTGAGATTGCTTGTATATATTGTTCATCTTAAAGTCTTTTAATGGTCACCTTACATAAATACATCCTATCCTCTTTTTTATTCTGATTGGCTAACCAGAGCAGAGAGGTGGGACCAGCTGCATTAGGGATAAAAAGGGAGCCTGCCGCTTGCTTGCTTTGACCAAAATCTGGCTAATGGCACATCTTTTTGCAGAAGTAAATTTTGCCTTGCTTTGAGAATTCTTTGTTTTTATTTCTTCAGTTGTGACTCTGGTAGTTTTTGTTTTTGTTTGCCAATCCTGGGGCTTGAACTCAGGGCCTGGGCACTGTCCCTGAGCTTCTTTTGCTCAAGACTAGCACTCTATCACTTGAGCCACAGCACTGCAGCCTTTTCTGTGTATATGGTGCTGAAGAATTGAACACAGGGCTTCATGCATGCTAGGCAAGTACTCCACTACTAAGTCACATTCCCAGCCCCTCCAGTGGTTCTTGAGGAGCATATTTATAACAACCCCTTCTCAACTCATATATCACTGGCTGCAGTGGACCAGTGTCATCCCAAACAACATGGGAGTCTGGGACTGGGAGATTCATGGTTCTAGGTCAACCAAGGAAAAAAAATCCAGGAGACTGGCTCCTTGGAAGAGAAGCTGGATATGGTGGTGCACACCTGTGTTCCCCGTGATGATAGGAAGTCTGTGGTTGGATTGTGGCTCACAGTACACCGGGACAGGAAGTAAGACTTTACTGTAAAAACCAGACTGGGTGTGGCTTAGCAATATTGAGCCTGCCTAGCAAGTATATATGGCCCTGAGTTCAAACCCTAGTGCTGTCAAGGAAAGAAGTCCATGTGAGGCTGGCTTCAGGTGCATTGGCTGAAATTATGCTCATGAAACTTTCTTTTTTTTTCTTCTGCTTTCTATACTTGGCTTCATCCACATGGAAGCCTCCCCACACATGTCTAAAATGGCTGCAGTAGCTCCAGGCTTCATGCCACCATCCCATACTGTTTAAGAAAAGACCTATAGCCACTACTGAAGAGTAAGGAAGCATTCGTTTCCTACAAACCCTTACTGACACCTTCTCGCTTCTGCTTGACTTTGAGTGTTTGATATGCTAGTTGAATAAATTAAGGACCATCCCTGCCTTAAGAGAAAGACTACTCACCCAAATACATAAGTTACCTGCAAACTGTAGCTTTAAAAGAACCGTGGGAGCTGGGTGTGGTGGTGCATCTCTGCAACCTCAGCACTTAGGAGGCTAAAGCAGATCTGGAGTTGGAGACTAGCCAGGCTACGTATGGAGGGAGACCTGTCTCAAAAAAAAAAAAAAGGGTATGTCAGGATTCTTCATGGAGATTAGGGACTGCAGCAGTTCTTACTCACTAAAGGGTAATGGGCAGAAGCAATTCCAGATGGATGGATGTTGTCTGACTATTGTTTGTTTCTCCTGATGCTGCAGGTTGCTATCCCAAACCTCAGCGAGGCTGTGCAGGATGCGGATCTGCTGGTGTTCGTCATCCCTCACCAGTTCATCCACAGGATCTGCGATGAGATCACGGGTAGGGTTCCCAAGAAGGCCCTGGGCATCACCCTCATCAAGGTAGGTTGTGTGCAGAGCAGGCTGGAAGGGTGTGCTGGAGAGGGAGAGTGCCTCTCATCAGCTCCAGCTGTGGAGCGGGGTTGGGGGGGGGGAGGTGGAGGTAGAGTTTGGGGTTTTGTTTGTATTTTTAAGGATGCCTGGCAGGTAATAAAACGTAAAACTCACAGGCCTGGTTCAGATCAGGTTTAGGAGCAGGGCAGCTTTCTGTAGCAGCAGGTCAGTCATCCTGGAGGAGAGGACATCTCTGATGCTGTAGTCTGCTCTGCCTAGCCTGCGCTGGGCATCCCCAGGACCTGCTTCAGCTAGGACATGACTCATCATCAACCAGATCCTACGCTTTAGAGGGAGACAGAGCCTGAAATGGGCTCTTCATATTTAATTTTTTAAAAGTTTTCTTTAAGTAGTTGCACAAAGGGTTTTCAATATAACAAATCAGTTTATAATTACTACGCATCTTTTGTTCTGTTATCTTTAAGTTGTATGACGGGTTTCAATTCAACTTGTCAGTGTGTAAGTACCATCCATCTCGATCAGGGTCACCGCTTCCATCATTCTCCATCTGTCCAAGTGCCACCGATCCCCTCAAGTTCCCTGGTTCTGTTTTCACATCCATACATTGAGTATTACAACTGGACTCCCCACCCTTCCTCTATTTGTTTGCCTTCCCTTCCCAACAAAACAAGTTCTAGCTTCCTGGCATTTTGTTACACTGGTTGTTCAAAGGAGTTACACCATTGGAATCCTCCTCTGTATATATCATATTTAGTTAACATATATATGACCCTCTATTTTTCATATATGTTTATAATTTAAATCTACCTTCCACATAGGAGAGAAAACTGTACCCGTTATGTCTCTGAGCCTAGCTTTATTTTTTTTTTTTGGTCCGGTCATGGGGCCTGTACTCTGGGCCTGGGCACTGTCCCTCAGCTCTTCAGCTCACGGCTAGTGCTCTACCACTTGAGCCACAGCGCCACTTCTGGCTTTTTTCTTTTTGCTTATGTGGTGCTGAGGAATCGAACCCAGGGCCTCAGGCATGCAAGGCAAGCGCTCTACCACTGAGCCACCTTCCAAGCCCTGAGCCTAGCTTTAAAGTGAGTGTTTTAAACCACAAGTCCTCAGACCAGAGGTCATACTCTTGAGTGGAGAAAGAAACTTCTTTGTCTTTTTTTTTTTTGGTCAGTCATGGGGCCTGAACTCTGGGCCTGGGTGCTGTTCCTCAGCTCTTCAGCTCAAGGCTAGTGCTCTACTACTTGAGCCACAGCGCCACTTCTGGCCTTTTCTGTTTATGTGGTGCTGAAATTGAACCCAGGGCCTCATGCATGCAAGGCAAGCACTTTACCACTGAGCCATTTTTTATTTCACTATAAGCGAGTTTCATACCTTCATTTAATTGGCTTCATAGGAAATCTTCATGTTTTATGTAATTCTGAGAATGAGTTTATCACCTTCACCACACTGCTAGGGGTAGGGCCCCGGAGGGTATTGCAGTTCATTGTTTGTGTGAAGGTGAACTGGAGCAGCCTCTGCTGAACAGCACTAGGGTGGATGAGAGGTCATAGACTACTACTAGTTTTGGAATACTGGACAGCAGTGAACAGGAATGAACAGCTCATAGTCACATGGCCAGCTTTCTAAAATAGTAATGGAGCCCGAAGCAGACCATAACAGATAAATGGTGTGGTTCTTAACTGACTTTCAAAAAACAAGCTTAATGAACCTCATGTTTGTTTAGGGAATTACATGCAACAAGATGTTCACTATTGAGAATGGTGACTTGGCTGGGGGAGGAAACATGAGGAAGAAGAAGGGTTATGGGAAAAGACACAGGGACTTCAGCATGCGGGTCATGTTCTGCTTTATTTTAATTTTTTGCACTGTTGGTGAGTCATGTTCTTAATCCAAATGATGGTGCATACTTTTAAAATTGTGTGTGTGTATGTGTGTGTGTGTGTGTGTGTGTGTGTGTGTGTGTGTGTGTGTGCGTGCACGTGCACGAGTCCAGTGCTTGGGCTTGCACTCAGGGCCTGGGCATTTTCCCTGAGCTTTTTACTCAAGGTTCACCCTCTACCACTTGAGCCACAGCTCCTCTTCTAGCTTTTTGTTGTTTAAGTGAAGATAAGAATCTACCTGACTTCTGCCCAGGCTGGTATCAAACCTTAATCCTCCCATTCAGCCTCCTTAGTAACTAGGATTACAGGCACTTGCCATTTTAATCTTTATTCTTTTTTTTTGCATTTGTTTGTTTTAATTTTTAAAGGTTTTTTTTTTTCTCCCCCAGTCCTGGGGCTTGACTTCTGGACCTGGGCACTGTCCCTGAGCTGCTTTTGCTCAAGGCTAGTGCTCTACCACTTGAGCCACAGTACCACTTCTTGCTTTTTCTTTTTTTTTGCCAGTTGTGGGGCCTTAACTCTGGGCCTGGGCGCTGTTCCTCAGCTCTTCAGCTCAAGGTTAGCACTCTACCACTTGAGCTGCAGCGCCACTTCTGGCTTTTTTTTTTTTTCTGCTTATGTGGTGCCGAGGAATCGAACCCAGGGCCTCATGCATGCAAGGCAAGCACTCTACCACTGAGCCACCTTCCCAGCCCCAGTTTTTGCTTTTTCTGTGTATGTGGCACAGTGGAATCGAACTCAGGGCTTCATCCAAGCTAGATAAGCAAGCACTCTACCACTAAGTGACATTCCCAGCCTAAAGTTGTTTTTTTTTTTTAAATTGTAAAGGTGGTATACAGAGGGGCTACAGTTAGTGAGTACATTTCTTTTTACCCCTTTCTTTGCATTCTCTGTTTTTCCCTCCCATCCCTATCCACAAGTTGTATAGTTCATTTTCTTTATTTTATTCCTTAAGCAGTTCGTATGCACTTTGGTTTCTTATGTAAGAGTATTTTTCTTGAGATATCTAAATGTGGATTCTGCAGAAAGCAGCTATATGCAGCTCTGTGATTCTGTTTCCTTCTCCTCCCTCCTAGGGCATCGATGAGGGCCCCGAGGGGCTGAAGCTCATCTCTGACATCATCCGAGAGAAGATGGGCATAGATATCAGTGTGCTGATGGGTGCCAATATAGCCAGCGAGGTGGCTGCCGAGAAGTTCTGTGAGACCACTATCGGTGAGCCACCCAGGGGAGACATGGAAGTCTCTCCTGCGTGTCCCCCCCTCCTTGCTCTCCCCTGTGCTGCTAGAGTGGAACCCAGGGCCTGGCGCATGCTCCACCCCAGAGCTGCCCCAGCCCATTCCTCATACTGTCTGTGGTGGGCCTGGGAGTGGGCGGGTTATGTGCAGGACCATTCTGTGCCTCTGAAGTGGTCCAGCCACACCAGAGTGAATGGAGAGTCGGAGGGATGACCTGATCCACCTGGAAGGGGGACCAGTAAGTTAGACATGGAAATAGAAGGTTGTTTGTACCCACACACAGGGGGTGTTTGTACCCACACTCAAATGGGGAGGTCCCTTGGCCAAGAAATTCCCTTTCTATCCTTTCATTCCTTCCCTCCCTCCATCCCTCCCTTCTTCCTTCTTTTCCCTTTCCCTTCCCCTTCTTATTCACGACTGAATTTTGCTGTGTTGCATATGTTGCCTAGACTGGCCTTGAACACTCTGTCTCCTGCTTCTATCTCCCAAGTTGTTAGGACTGACTACAGGATGTACACTCACCTAGCTTAGCTTTTCACAGATCACAAAAGCCAGTCTCCAAGTCCATCCTCACTGATGCCGATGAGACTGAACAATGGGTGAGGGAGGTTCCCATTTTCTGGTGACTAAGGAATGACTTTCAAGGTCATGCCACAAGGTAGAATCTTGGTTCAGATTTGGCTGTCCTGTTTCCTGAAATAGTAAGCTTTTTTTTCTGTTCTTACATGTTGGGAAGAAACATTCTCACACTGATTTTGTGAAAATTCTCATTGCTTTAAGAAGGACTTTGAGAATATGAAGTATCTTAAAATATATATACACTGGTGTAAAAATAATAGTTCTGTATTTTTAGACACTTTGCAAACATTTATGTTTTTCTCTACCATTGCACAACTTTTACAGATGTTTCTCCTTGACAGATGCATAAAATGAACCTAAGATACCAGAGGCTGGTTCTATAGTGAATGACATGGAAAATGAACCTTTAGATTCTCATACTTTCCATATAGGATGCTTATAGTTTCATTGCAGTTCCCCCTTGATTTTCATTTTAAATATGTATACAAAATTTTTATTACTGTATTAGGGAGAATCAAAGCTTTTTTTTTTTTTTTTTTGGTTCCGGTCGTGAGGCCTGAACTCTGGGCCTGGGCGCTATCCCTCAGCTCTTCAGCTCAAGGCTAGTGCTTTACCACTTGAGCCACAGTACCACTTCTGGCTTTTTTCTTTTTTGCTTTTGTGGTGCTGAGGAATCGAACCCAGGGCCTCATGCATGCAAGGCAAGTGTTCTACCACTGAGCCACCTTTCCAGCCCCAAGAATAAAAGCTTTTTCTTTGTTCTTTTCCATTTGGTATATATTCTTGTGCAAACTATTAATTTCTGTTTATTATAAGTCATATATGATCTTTCATTGCTTTATTCCCCTAATTTGTAACAAAACATTTTATAGTCTGTTAACACACAGCTCAATAACTCCACACATTCTGACTCTTAAAACTTACATTGAGAAATATTTTTTTGGGAAAGGAAAAGTATCAAATTAATTTAAAGATGTATTGGGAAGTTCAAACTTTGCCTTCAAGGTTTAGTAGTTGATTCTGCTGAAGTAAGCTGGCAGGGGATCATTGAAAAAGAATATGAACAAATTACCATGAGTATGTACACAGAAGCCATAGAAAATATGGAACTGGGGCAGGGGAGTGGCTTAAGTCACAGAATACCACCTACCAGGTGCAAGGCCCTGAGTTCAAACCCCAGTACTGCCTCTCACCCATTTCCCCCCAAAAGAAAGAAAATTAAAGAAAGGACAGATATTGAAGCATAGATACCCTCTTCACAAGGGAGATGGAAGTGGGGTGGCAGACAGTTGTGGAAGGGTTAGAAGTGGGTTTTATGGGAGAAATTGAGCCTGGAGGACTGTGGCCTCAGGCAGAGTTCTGGGCTTGGTGTTTGATTTCCAGTCTCTTCCTCTGTAAGGCTGAGAACCCATTTCCATTTGGTCACTGAAACTTAGTCTTTTAAACTACCTGCACATTCTAGCTGGGTTGTTTATCTGCCTCTAGCCTGTGTATTGTAGTGACTTGGGCTTGTTTGTCAAAAGAGGTAAATGTCCCATTGTCACCACTCTTTCCCCTTGACTTCTGTCTGTGTCCTTTCTCTCTGGGTTGGACAAAGCTGGCACTGGTGTCTTGAGTTAAATTAAGCAAAGCATTAAAAGTAGCTAGAGATGGGTGCTGGTTGCTCATAGCTGTAATCCTAGCTATTTATTCACTAGGCTGTGAGGATCAAGGGTTTTTTGGCTGTGGATGTTCTTTTTTTTTTTTGTCAGTCATGGAGCTTAAACTCTGGGCCTGGGCACTGTCCCTCAGCTCTTCAGCTCAAGGCTAGCTCTGTACCACTTGAGCCACAGTACCACTTACAATTTTCTGGTGGTGAATTGGAGATAAGAGTCTCCTGGACTTTCCTGCCAGGACTGGCTTTGAACCATGATCCTCAGATCTTAGCCTCACGAGTAGCTAGGATTACAGGTGTGAGTTGCCAGTGCCTGGCATCAAGGTTTGAACCCTATGAACTACGAAAAAACTGCAAGGGGTGCTGTGGCTTAAGTGATAGAGTACTAGCCTTGCATCCAAAAGCTCAGGGATAGCACCCAAGGCCCTGGGTTTGAGCCCTAGTGCTGGTGTGTCACACATGGGCAGGTGTGCACATATGCACATGCTCTCGTGCGCGCGCACACACACGCAAGATAGAACATGAGAGCGATAATTAAAAAAAGTTGTATATAACCTGAATTTAATCATGAAGCTATATCAGACAAGCTGGAAGTAAGGGACAGACATTGTCAAACAAACGTCTCTTACTCCTCAAAAGGACAGCTGAAGGCTAATGGAGTGCTCCATGTGTTGGAGATGGCTGGCGGCCTGATCAGGAATGCAGCAGGGATTTGGGAACCTAAATTCAGGAATGCAACAGCGTCCTGGACCTCAGTTAGGCAGGGAAAGTTGCTGTCTCAGACCACACTAGTTATTGATGAGAGTTGAATCTGGATCATCTGTTAGTAGTATAGCAACATTGAATTGCACTGTGGTTATGCAGGTCTCACCCCCCTCCTTGTACTTTTCACCTCTTCCTTCCTCCTTCCCTTCTTTCTCCCTCTCTTCCTTTTTCCCTTTCCTCCTTCCTCCCTCCCATTTCCTTTATATATATATATTATATTATATATAATACACATATATAACATAACGTATATAATACTATATATATAGTATTGTAAAGATACTGTACAGAGGGGTTACAGTTACATGAGTAAGGTAATGAATCCATTTCCTATTGAGCATTGTTGCCTCCTCCTTTGCTTTTCCCCATCCCTTCCCTCCCCACCTCCCATCTTCTTCCTCCCCTCACCCCCAAGTTGTAAAGTTTGTTTTCAACATAGAGTCTTGTACATCTCATTGTTACAATAGATCCTCCCTTCAATTTCTGTTTTTGATAGTACTGGGGTTTGAACTTAGGGCCTTGAGCTTGGTAGTTAGGCCCTTTCTTTTGCACTGTGTTGTTTTTGTTTTTGCTTGTTTGTTTGGGTCTTGAACTCCAGGGCCTTACCCTCACTCAGCTTTTGGATTCATAACTGAAGTTCTATTGAGTCGCCTCCTATCTGGCTTTTTTTCCTTTTTACTAGTTAATTGGAGATAGAGTCTCCTGGGCTTTTCTGCCTAGGCCAGTTTTGAATCCAATCCTCTGGATCCCAGCTTCCTGGGTATTTTTGAGACCGTCTCTCAAAAATAACCACTGGGGACAAGCGTACACCCAAATCCACCTGTTTTAGTCTTTCTGTCATGGCTGGATGGCCATGGCTTCTGCAGAGGTGAAATCAATCAAACTTTCCTGCTTGGCTGATGTTGAATCTTGATCCTTCCAATTTGAATCTTGATCCTTCCAAGTTGCTAGCATTAAAGATGAGAATCACTGCACATGGCTTTCCCTCCTTTTTCTTCTTTTTTAATCATTCTGGTGGTGAAGAACTGGCCTTGAATATACTAGATAAGTACTCTACCTTGTTCCCAACACCCATGATTTCCTCTATTGATGACATTCATTTTAATTAATTTTTTTTTCTGGTTTTGAGATCAGGTCTTTAATAATCCTCCCACTTCACCTCCCCTGGTGCTGAGATTACAGTTGTGTGCCACCATGTCTAACACCAGCTATTTTTGTTGTTGTTGGTTGTGGGGCCTGAATTCTGGGCCTGGGTGCTGTTCCTCAGCTCTTCAGCTCAAGGCTAGCACTCAACCACTTGAGCCATAGCGCCACTTCGGGCCTTTTCTGCGTATGTGGTGCTGAGGAATTGAATCCAGGGCCTCATGCATGCAAGGCAAGCGCTCTACCACTGAGCCACCTTCCCAGCACCCCCCCTTTTTTTTCTGTTGGCCGTGGGGCTTGAACTCTGGACCAGAGTACTGTCCCTCAGCTCTTCAGCTCAAGGCAAGTGCTCTACTACTTGAGCCACAGTGCTACTTCTGGTTTTTGAGTGGTTTATTGGAGATAAGAGTCTCAGGGACTTTCCTGCCTGGGCTGGCTTTGAACTGTGATCCTTGGATCTCAGCCTCCTGAGTAGCTAGGATTACAGGTGTGAACCATTGGTGCCTGGCTAGCACTAGCTAATTATTATTATTAATTCTTTTTTGTCAGTCGTGGGGCTTGAACTCTGGGCCTGGGCACTATCTCTAAGCTCTTCAGCTCAAGGTTAGTGCTCTACCATTTGAGCCACAGTGCCACTTCTGGCTTTTTCTGTATGTGGTGCTGAGGAACTGAACCCAGGGCATCATGCATGCGAGGCAAGCACTCTACCACTGAGCCGCCTTCCCAGCCTTCCTAGCTAACTTTTTTTTTTTTGTCTTTTCTTTTTTGGTACTGGGGATCGAACCCAGGACGTTGCACTTGCTAGGCAAGCGCTTTGCCACTGAGCTACATCCCAGCCCCTAGCTAACTTTTAATTGTGGTAAATTCAGAAATATTGGCCCACCTGTGACTATGGAAGATGAAGAAAAATGGTGTGATTTTTGAGCTTCTTTGAGAAACACCGACATAATGAGCGCTGGTGCCCCCTTGTGGTGAGCACTGTCCTCAGTCCTGAGTTTAGCACAGAATCTTGAGAGTGATCCAATCACTATGTTAATGGGTCAGACACTGATAAATGTCTCAGATACATAAGTCTGCAGGACTTCTGAGTGAACAAATAAGCAATCAGAGACTGAAATTGAGGTTGGAAAGGACTTTTATTAAATAAATTGATTACCTCTAAAATGGCATGGAAGAGGGTCGATCCCACATGGTCCTGGGTCATTGCCTCTATCAAATAGATGGCTTGGCTCCTTGCTTGCTACATCACTGCTTGGGACCTGTAGTAATAATGAAGAGGCACTTTTTTTTTTGTTTGTATGTAGAGTGGTCAGGGTCTGGTGCTTGCTAGGTAAGTGCTCTACCACTGGAGTGATGTTACCAGCCCTTTTTGCCTTAGTTATTGTTCTGATAGGATTGCCTAGATTATTCCTGTGCTGGCCTGAACCTTGATCCTCTATGCTTTCCACATAGATGAGGTGACAGGTAACTCCACCACACTCTTTTTTTTTTTGGTCAGTCAGGCTGGAACTCAGGGCCTGAAAACTGTACTGTCTCTGACCTTTTGTACTCAAGGCTAGTGCTCTACCACTATAAGCCACAGCTCCACTTCCAATTTTTTCCAGACACAAACCTCCAGCTCTGAGCCTCCACATGCAACTTTGTTGGTTGAGATGAGATCTCTTGAACCTTTTTCCCGGGTTGCTATTGAACCAGTTCTCAGCCTCGCAAGTAGCTAGGATTACAGGTGTGACCTACTACGCTGAGAAGAACAGCACTTTCATACCCACGATTTAACATGATAATTTTAAAAGGCGTATTTCAGAGAATGAGGTTGTCATGAGTGAAACCCATTCTCTGAACAGCATGTGCTAGTTGTAGCCACAGACAAGTCCCCGCCTCACCTCAGGAGTAGAGCTTCTTCTCCCTTTGCCCATTCCTCAGCACTAGCTAGTGGCAGCGCTAGCTTCCAGCTGGGCACAGATGGCTGAATGTGACTAGGGATGGGCAGGTGGTGAGGTAGAGGAGACACACTGAGACCGTGTGCTAGGGCCAGGGCTGGTTTACCCAAGCAGATGATGAAACAGCATTGCCCAGAAGCACATAGATACCTGCTGCCACACCCAAAGAGGAAGGAGTCAGCTTGCCCAACCTCACACAGTTCCAGTATTTGGAAAAAGAGAACTTAGCCTAATGTACAGAGCTTACAAAATGAACTTGGTACATATTGAGTGTAATTTTTTTTTCCCTTGTGCTAAACTCAAAGACGTGGACACTGTCCCTTAGATTTTTCACTCAGAGTACTCTATTGCTTGAGCCACAGCTCCACTTCTGGCTTTTTGGTGGTTAGGAAATAAACATGGAAGTCTCATGGACTTCCCTGCCCAGCTAGCTTTGAACCATATTCTTCAGATTTCAGTCTCCTGAGTAGCTATGATTGCAGATGTGAGCCTCTATTGCCTGCTTCTAGGAGCCACTTTAATTGCTTTTTTCTGCATTGGAATTGTTCAGCTCAAATTGTGATATTTGTTTGGTTTTTCCTCATCTTCTTTCTTTCAACATCCAAGAAGTGGCACAGCATAGGACCAGAGCTGGGACCTTGGAGTAGAGGGACATATGGGTTCAGAACTTGTCCTCTGCCTCCAGTATACTAGCTAGGTGACCAAGGCAGGCTGTACACCTATCTGGGCTTTCTTTTCTTGTTTAGAATGGTAAGCATAGAAATGCCCCCAGCTGCCTTAGGGGCTCTTTGAATGCTGTTACTGATCCCAGAAGTTCAGTGCTTCTGTCTCCATTCTTGCATGAGTGGATATCAAGCAAGACTGGAGGTTTGAGTGGAAGCATGAAGTTTACAAAGCATAGTAGTTTTCATAGAAAGGCATTTTCACATGTGAAAGTAGGTCATCTCAGGAGTCAAGAGCAACTGTCCCTTCTGTATTGCCTTGGGCTTTCTTGGAATTTCAAGGGACTGCAGTAATTATATTGTTTATGTAATAAAAAGGATTTTGGCTTCTTGATTAGGTTGAATATTGACATTAGAGTGTTTATTTTTTCTTTTTCTATAGGCAGCAAAATAATGCAGAATGGCCTGATCTTCAAAGAACTTCTTCAGACTCCCAATTTTCGCATTACTGTGGTGGACGATGCGGACACGGTGGAACTTTGTGGTGCTCTTAAGGTAAGGTCCTTCTGCCCCGGGTGAGAGTGGCTCAGGCTAGGCCCAAGTGGGTGGTCTGGAGTCCAGTCCTGGGGAGCAGCTCTGGGAGATTTTCACTTAGCTCTGTGAAGAATAGTGAATATAAGTGGGGACTGGTGGCTCACACCTGTAATCCTAGCAGCTTCAGAGGCTGAGATCTGAGGATCGAGGTTGGAGCCAGCTCAGGCACACAAATCCAGAGACTTACCTTCACTTAACCAGCAAAAATCCAGAAGTGAAGTTGTGGCTTGAGTAGTAGAGCATCAGCCTTGAGTAAAAAAGCCCAAGTGAGAGTGCAGGGCCCTGAGTTCAAGCCCAGGTGTGTGTGCACGCATACACACACACACACACACACACACACACACACACACACACACACACACACACAGGCACGCACGCACGCACGCACGCACATGCACATACATGCATGCACACATAAACACATGCGTGTGCACACACACACACATAAAGTGAATCCAGCGACTTCTTTATAACTTCCTGTTACCCTACCTTCCCTGGATGGTTGAGCTCATTCTTATTCATGGTTTTCTTGTACTAGAATTGTGCTGTTTTGTACTTTGGGGTGGTGGCCACATTGTTTTCCCAGGGTTTTACCCAGGAGCTAACGAGCCTACTTGTGTCTTCTCCAGCAGGAGCAGAAGCTGGCTCTCCCTAAATTCTGTACTTTGCTGGTGTGGTGATTTGGTTGATTGGTCTTTTTTTTTTGGGTCCGGTCGTGGGGCCTGAACTCTGGGCCTGGGCGCTATCTGTAAGCTCTTCAGCTCAAGGCTAGCACTCCACCACTTGAGCCACAGCGCCACTTCTGGCTTTTTTCTTATGTGGTGCTGAGGAATCGAACCCAGGGCCTCGAGCATGCAAGGCAAGTGCTCTACCACTGAGCCACCTTCCCAGCCCTTGATTGGTCTTTTTTAAGGAAAAAAAAAATACACACATACACATATATATCTCCCCCCCTCCCCCGCCACTGACCAAAGGTTTTTCTAATAGTTTATCTTTGCCCCCTGTAGAGGGAATAGGTCAACAGCTCAGTGACTTGGGAATGTTGAGGCAGAATTATAACAAATTAATTATAGACCAGTCAGCCTCTATTCAGTTCTTGGCTTAGGAGCAGCCTGTGGGTTTTTAAATTGATTAATTAATTAATTTATTTGCTGGTCATGGGGTCTGAGCTCTGGGCCTGGGTGCTGTCCCTCAGCTCTTTAGCATTATAAGCTTAAGCCACCAGCACCTGGCTGAGAACTATATGTAGGAAAACCTTTACTGGTTAACATAGCACTTCAGGTTTAAAGCAAAGGAGACTTCCTTATTTTGCTGGCAGGAAAAGCTGGCCTGCTGTAGGACATGGCTGCTTCCTTTAGTGATCCACTTTGCTGATGGGGCACATGGCATGAGCAACTCCATTCTGCTTCGTCTGTTCTGTGAGGGTTTGGTACAGGAATGATGTCCAATAATGTGTCCTGTAACTTTTCGGTAAAGGGGAACATTTCATTCATCTATTTTTGTGCCAGTACTGAGGCTTGAACTCAGCAATTTGCCTTCTCACTTGTTTTTTTTTTTTTTTTTTTTGGCTAAAGGTTGGTGTTCTACCACTTGAGTCACGTCTCTACATCTAGCTTTTTGCTGATTAATTGGACAGGAGTCTTACAGACTTCTCTGCCCCAGCAGTCTTTGCATGGGGACCCTTAGATCTCAGCTGAGATTATAGGCATGATCCACTAGCATCTAGCAAGGGGAAGCCTTGGTCAAGTCTGTCTCTATCATGATGCAACCAGAGTTGTAGACCTCAGGTCCAAACTTTCAGGATTTGCCTGGTTCTGCCCCTTGCCCCTCTGTGCCAACTAAAGAGGTTCTAATGGTGAAGGGCAGAGAGAGGTTTATTACCTGACACTGAGTTCATCTTCAGGCATCTTCTGGGTACAAATGTGAGTTTTAAGTTTAAATAGAGAATGCAGGTGTGTAGGGGTGGTAGTGTCAGGTATGCACTGTTAAAGCAATCCCAGCCTGGCATGGCATGGTTGACCACTGTCTCTTCCTTGTTCCGAGAAGTGTTCCAGAAGATTTATCAACTCTGGAGAGGCTCTGGAGTCCCCTTCCTTTGGACTAGTTTCCTGTATTTTTCCATGGAAACATGTGTTGCTAAGTCTTGGCATTCCTGGATTCTAAGATGACTGGCTTATAAAAAGATGGATGGATACAAGATGGAGGCAGGGATGCCAGACTTTTTCTCCTGCTATTGGATAGTTTGGAGGCCCAACTAAGGAGTCTGTACGTTTCAGCAAGATGCAGCAGCTCCTTCCTTCCTTGCTCTGAGTTTATGGCCTCCAACCACAATCCTCAAATCTCAGCCTGCTGAATAATTAGAATTACAGGCATGATCCACCTGCTTTTGGCTTCTTTTATAGTTCTGGATTTTTGTTTTTGTTTTGGTCAGTCATAGGGCTTGAACTCAGGACCTAAGCACTGTCCCTGAGCTTTTCCTCAAGACTAGTACTCTATCACTTTCAGCCACAGCTCTACTTCTGGTTTTCTGGTGGTTAATTGGAGATAAGAGTTTTATTGGCTTTCTTGCTCGTGATCCTGAGATCTCAGCTTCCTGAGTAGCTAGGATTACTGGTGTGAGCCATTAGTGCCCAGCATCTTTGATTGTTTTTAAAAGATTCTCACTACTTTTGCAGAGATTAGAATAGCTGGGATTAGAGGCATACACTACCATGCTCAGCTTTGTGGGTTTTTTTGTTGTTGTTGTTATGTTTTACAGTAAAAAGGCCACTTTTCATGAGTTAAAACTCCTAGGGAAGGAAATTAGCATCCTCATTCATCTGCCAGAACACCAAGGCTCAAATATGCCATTCCACTCTCAGAAGCAGTACGTCTTTTTTTTTTTTTCTAGTCAGAATTTAAAACCACTTCCTAGAATTAATATTGTGTGTATATATGTGGTCATGATATACAATGAACATTTAAAAAATTAAAGCCAATTAAAGCCTGGGCTCCCAGGCAGTAGGTCCCATAAGTCTAACTGTGCTCGAACGGTTCTTCACAGCATGGACAGGCCCTGTCATGCGTTTAAGAAGCTGGCCTTGGCTTCATTGTTTACTTTGGGTGAGATTTTTTATTTGGTTTTAATATTCCTCCATTAAACAAATGATCACTTGACAGTAGGGGACATCATGAATGCCTAATTGCTCACTAACGGCCTGAGCTGCTGTAAAGCTCTTGTAAGTGACTTGATGTTTTTGGAAGTGGAGAAGCTGTGAAATCCTGCCCACAACAAAGGGTGCTGGATGAGAAAATTCTAGACCATGCGAGTTTTGTGTTTGAACCAAGAATGGCTTTTCATTTCTCCTGGCAGGAAGCCTGTAAGTAGATTTGTGCCTGCAAGTACCACAGAGAAAGATTAAACCCTTTGAGGCAGATGGGGAGGGGGGAGGGGCTCTAACACTCTCCCTTCTCCTGTCTGGGGTTTTGGAAACTGAGAGCCAGGCCTTTTGATTTTCACTGAATCCAACTGGACAGACGAAGGGAGCAAGATCCAAGGAGTAATGACAAAGGCAGGACATGTTGGTGCTATTGGAGTGTTTTAGAAATCTTAGTCTGGTATTCTTTGGTTACTGTATATGACTTTCCTTTTTTGGTTTGTATCCAGGCACTATGACAATATTTATCATTTGAGCCTGTTAAGCAAGGATGAATGGTGGACATGTTTTCCCTTCCTTCCTTCCTTCCTTCCTTCCTTCCTTCCTTCCTTCCTTCCTTCCTTCCTTCCTTCCCTCCTTCCCTTCCTTCCCTTCCTTCCCTTCCTTCCTTCCTTCCTTCCTTCCTTCCTTCCTTCCTTCCTTCCTTCCTTCCTTCCTTCCTTCCTTCCTTCCTTCCTTCCTTCCTTCCCTCCTTCCCTTCCTTCCCTTCCTTCCTTCCTTCCTTCCTTCCTTCCTTCCTTCCCTTCTTTCCCTTCCTTCCCTTCCTTTCCTTCCCTCCCTCCCTCCCTCCCTCCCTCCCTCCCTTCTCTTTCATTGGTCCTGAGACTTTAACTCTAGGCCTAGGCCCTGTCCCTGAGCTTCTTTTGCTCAAGGAGAGCACTCTACCACTTGAATCACAGCGTCACTTCCAGCTTATTTTATTGTAAAGATGCTATATAGAGAGGTTACAGTTACATGAGTAAGGTAATGGGTACATTTCTTGTCGAGCATTGTCACCCTCTCCTTTGTTTTTCTCCTACCATCCCTTCCCTCCCTCACCTCCCCAATCCTCCTGTTATATATTTCCATCATAACAGGTATGCATGTCATGTTCAGCTTCTTCCTTTGAGATGGAGTTTCATGAACATTTTTGCTACAGCCTCCTAAGTAGCTAGTCTTGTGGGCATGAGCCAGTGGCTCCCAGTTGGTAATCTCTGACTCCATAAATGATAGTTTTGGGTTTTCCCCTGATTATTCATGTAGCTATATTAAGCATGTTTCATATACTGGGAAACAATATAGAAGAAAGTGAAAATCAGTGACCAGATTGTATCCTGAGATACTCATAATCCTTGTACAGTCTTTCATTTTTATTTTTTTATTCTTTTTTTGGTTGGTTGTGGGTCTTGAACTGGGCCTGGGTGTTGTCCCTGAGCAATTCAGCTTCAGGCTAGCACTCTACCATTTGAGTCACAGCACCACTTCTGGTTTTCTGGTGGTTTATTGAAGATAAGAGTCTCGTGGATGTTCCTGCCTGGGCTGTCTTTGAACCACGATCCTCAGCTCTCAGCCTCCTGATAGAATTATAGGCATGAGCCACCAGTGCCAGGCTCAGTCTTTCACTCTTTCCAGCAAGAGTATACAAGTATTGTCCTCTTTTGAAAGCTAGAGCTTTAAGGCTGGGTGCTCATGGTTCATGTCTGTAACCCTAGCTACTCATGAGGTTGTAATATGAGGATCATCGTTCAAAGAGTGTTCATATGACCATCAATGCAGCCCATTTTG